CAGGAATTGACAACCCATTGAGATGTTTCAACAAACTAATGCTGCACTGAAAGCACTCACTTGGATATGCCAAGAGATTTGGAAGACAGCTACCTGGTCAACTGATTGAAAGAGATCCAGATTTGTACTCATTCCAAAGAAATGTGATCCCACTGAATGTGACAATTATCAAACAATATCATTAATATCACATGCAAGTAAAATCTTACTGAAGATAATTCAAAAACAGTTCCAGCAGTATATTGACAGAGCACTTCCAGAAATACAAGCTGGATTCAGAAGAGAATGTGGAATGAGGGTTATCATTGTTGGTGTCAGATGGATCTTGGCTGAAAGCAAAGAGTACCAGAAAGATGTTTACTTGTGTTTTATTGACTATGCAAAAGCATTCAACTGTGTGGATCATAACAAATTATGGATAACATTGAGAAGAGTGGGAATTCCTGAACACTTAATTGTGCTCATCAGGAACCTGTACATAGACCAAGAGGGTGTCTTTCAAACAGAACAAGGGGATTCTGCATGGTTTAAATGAAGAAGGGAGTGTGTCAGGGTTGTGTCCTTTCACATACTTATTCAATCTATATACTGAGCAGATAATCCAAGAAGCTGGACCACATGAAGATGAACATGGCATCAGGATTGGAGGAAGACTCATTAACAACCTGTGATACGCTGACAACACAACCTTGTGAGATGAAAGTGAAGATGACTTGAAGCACTTACTGATGAAGATTGAAGACTACAGTCTGCAGTATGGATTACACCTCAGTATCAAGAAAACAAAGATCCTCACAACTGGACCTATAAGCAGCACCACGATAAATGGAGAAAAGATTGAAGTTGTCAAAGACTTTATATTACTTGGTTCTTCAATCAACACCAATAGAAGCAGGAGTCAAGGTATCAGATGACATATAGCATTGGGCAAATCTGCTGCAAAAGACCTCTTTCAAGTGATGAAGACCAAAGATTTCTCCTTGAACACTAAGGTGCGCCTTACACAAGCCATGGTATTTTCAGTCGCCTCATATGCATGTGAGAGCTGGACAATGAATAAGGAAGACCAAGAAGAGTCAATGCTTTTGAGTTGTGGTGTTGGTGAAGAATGCTGAAAGTACCATGGATTGCTAAAAGAACTAACAAATCTGTACTAGAGGAAGTGCAGCTGGAATGCTCCTTGGAAGCAAGAATGACCAGACTTCATCTCACCTACTTTGCTCATGTTGTAAGAAGGGACCATTCCCTGGAGAAGGATATCATGCTTGGTAAAGTGGAGGGTCAATGAAAAGGGGAAGGCCCTCA